AGGGGACGCCACGGGCGCCTGGGCGTCCCGAGGCTTCGCGGCCGTGGCCCGATCGCAGGCTTTTTGTTGGCGGCGAGCGGGGGGGGAAATGAGAAGGAGAAGGCCTTCTCAGAAGGCGGCGGGACTTCTCAGAAGCCCTGGCGCCTTCTGAGAAGTATTTTCTGTCTTCGTGGAAGGCTCAGAAAACTTCTCAGAAGGCCGGGGGACTTCCGAACCTTCTGAGAAGGCCTTCTCCTTCTCACTTCCCCACCTCGCTCGCCGCTGGTTTTGGTGCCCAACTGGTTGAGCTGGTCTACAACTGGGTCCCGACGAGCAACCTTCCACAAGGAACCCAACCCTCGCCCTCCGTGAGTTCCAAGTCCTCTGCCGTGACCCCGGCAAGTCTCCTGCGCCCTGAGGAAACAAGGGCAAGTGCTGGCGGAAATTCCAAGACCAACTTCCTCTCGACTGGTCCGTGCTACGGTGCTATGGACTGCTTGCGACGCCAGCTTGACCCAAGGGTTCTTCTTACACCCGCAGTGCCCACAACGCCACTTCTGCGACAACGACACCCTCGGGCTCGTACTCGCTGTCGTGCCTCTTCCCGCTGCTTCGCGGCTTCCTCCATTGCATCCACGCTATGGCGAACGAATGATGCTGAATGCTACAGTCGGACCTAGGACATAAACACATCTTTCAAGAACATGAGAACCTCCGTCTGCCCAAGCACACACAACATCCAAGGGTGTCCTCCTCATGGTGCACAAGAATGTCCAACAAAGACGAAGCACACTAGGGTACCCTCCCCGAGCCGATCTCGATCTTAAACCTCGGTCCGCCTGTATGAAGAAGGTGAGGCGAACACCTTGCAAAAGCCTGTCCGCTGCGAGGCTAGATAGGCAGACGCCGGCCGCTGGCGATGGCACTGCCAGTCAATCGCCCCCACCGTCTGAGCCCTGCCTTGCGAGCGGGGAATGGGTTTCTCACGAACAGCTTGAGCCCAAATGGCCAGGGATTCTCCTCCTCCTTCTTATCCTCCTCCTCCTCCACCTCCTCCACAATTACTCAATACGAATACTACTCTCCCTCTTCCCCCGATGACGGCCTGAAAATGTCCGACCCCCCCTGCGTACTGTTTTTTTACACACAGGTTTCCCCGGAATTGGGTTTTCGCCTTCATTTTTTTCAAAATGCTGCTCTCGCTGAGGCGCCGGCCTCATTTTCGGGCCCCGCTCGTTCCGAATCGTGCTCTCGCTGCAACGCTGGCCTCATTTCCGTGCTTCCGCTCGTTCCGAATCGTGCTCCCGCTGCAGCGCTGGCCTCATTTCCGCGCTTCCGCTCGTTTCGACTCGTGCTCCCGCTGCAGCGCTGGCGTCATTTCCCGTGCCATGCCACGGCGTGCAATGCAATGCTAGGTTGATACTACGCTTCGCGGTGCTCTTCTACGCCATGCCATGCCGTGCTCTACAATGCATCGCGTACCCTTTCGGGGTCTTTGCCCTGCTCGACATCCGACTGTGCGAGTAGAGAGGGGATCTGCGCCATGGTGAGGGATGGGAGGGAGGGGTAGGGTGTCAGATATGACGCGAGCGCACCTAGCTTGCCCTTCCCCCTCCCCCTCCTCCCCCTCCTCCTCGGCCTCCTCATCCTCCTCGTCCTCCTCCTCATCCTCGTCCTCCTCCTCCTCCTCCTTCTCCTCTCCCTGAGCCCTGCCTTGCGAGCGGGGAATTTGGGTTTTCGCGAACAACTTGAGCTCAAACAGCCAAGGATCCTCCTCCTCTTCCGCCTCCGCCTCCGCCTCCTCCTCCTCCTCCTTCTCGTCCTCCTCCTCCTCCTCCTCCTCCTCCTCACTTTTCCTCCTCCCCTCCCGAGAACCCCCAGGCCTCCAGGAATCTCCGAAAGCATTCCAGAGCTTCCGAAAACCACCAAACACTTGCCGACCCCTTGAGGCATCCTCGGCGTATGAGATAGCTGCCCCTCCCCAACTCCCTCCTGCTGGGAGCCCCGTTGGGCCCGTTTGGAAGGGGGGGCGGTCCTGCCGACGGCCCCGGCGAACTCATGCGCTGCACAAGCGCTATCAGAAATGACCCAATGCCCCCGAATGGTTCCAAAACTGTCCAACAGGGCTCCGAGGCGGCCCCAGAGCTCCACGACGGCCCAAGGGCCTCCCAAGACTACCCCAAAGCCTCCCCCAAACAACAAGCATCCGTGATTTTCTTAATACAAGCAATGCACGCATGCATACATACATCCATACATACATACATCCATACACGCACATGTGCATGCATGCGCACATACACACATACACATACACACATGCATACATACAATGCACTACACTACGCTACAATGTAATGCATGCATACGCTACAATACAACCCACCACACTACAATACAACACAAACCACACATACATACACATATACATACAAACCTACACACATACACAATTACATGCAAACATGCATATAGCCACAAACACATACATGTGTGCATGCATGCGCACATGTATACAGTACATGCCTGTATTGTGTACAACTGTGTGTAGGTATATGTGTATGTATGTTGTGCATCGGGCGAGATAGAAAGTGACATACATATAACGTGAGAGAGATAGAACAACAGAGAGAGAGAGAGAGATATCCACATACACGTGTACATATATCCATCTGGTGTCCGTGTGTATACACTCAAACATCTATTAACACATGTTTGGCACCTTTTCGATCTTCATGGTTACGGCAGGCCAAGGAGACCCCCAAAATCGCCTCATAATGGCTACCAGGAGCCCCCCAGATCGGCCCAACAGGGCTCCAAGATTGCTTCATAGAGTCCCATGAGAAAGCCAAGATGGGGACGTCGAGTGCGGGTCCAGGAGGTCTCCTCCACAAGATGGCCCGCAGGACCTCCGAAATGCCCCCAAGAGAGCTCCAACAAATCCCCAAGAGGGCCCCACGAGGCCCCCAAAGGCTCCCGAGAGGCCCCCAAAAGGGCCACCAAACAAGTCAACGAGGCTCCTTTTCAGCACGGTCTTGGGTTTCCCATATGGAAGCACGGCGCCGATACGCTTCTACGACAACGCCCCCCCCCCCTGAATACAGGCATCTAGGCCTCCCAACGGTTCAGCGGTGCGGCGCAAGCAAGCGTATGTAGGTGTGTATGTATGTATGTATGCCTGTCTGTCTGTCTGCCTGTCTGCCTGTATGTCCGGATGTCTGTATGTCTGTATGTCTGTATGTCGGTATGTCGGTATGTCTGTCTGTCTGTCGATCTGTCTGTCTGTCTGTCTGTCTGTCTGTCTGTCTGTCGTTCTGTCTGTCTGTTGTCTGTCTGTATGCATGCATGCATGTATGAATGAATGAATGTATGTATTTGTCTCTCTGGGGTCGCGTCGGCCACCGCCATTGTCGCTGTCGCCGTCGCCCGAGTCGGTGGCCCTGACGAGGGAGTGGAGGCGGCTGCGGCAGTGCCGAAACGCGCCCAGAGTCCAGCAAAACATGAGGGTGCAAACCCGACTTGTCTAACTGCTGCTCCGGGGGAGGGAGCCTGTGCTCAGGGGAGGCTGCAGCACCGCTCAGCGATGTGCTGTGAACCGTACCTGCAGGGTGTGCCCTTTCCCTTTTAAGGGGTCGCCCCGATCTTCTCCCTCGGCCATCGGTGGCCTCGCTGGAGCTCCGCGCATGTCCCTCACTCTCTCCCTCTCTCTCTCTCTCCCTCTCTCTCTCTCTCTCTCTCTCTTTCTTTCTCGCATGTATATGCATATGTGCGTATGAGTGTATATGTATATATGTATATATGCATATGCATATATATATATATATATATATATATATATATATACATATTTGCATATATATATATATATATATGTATATATATACAAGACTGCAGTGGCGCTTCGCGCCATGCACCTTGGTCCTTGAAGTTTGGTATGCAGGCGGACTAGCAGGAATGTCAAACCGACAATTTAGCGATAACTCCTTGTTGCCTTTTCTGGCATCGCCGCTACAATCATGTTTTGTTTTGAAATCCTTCCTCCATGCTTCTTTTTTCTAATTTTCGCCATGCCCTGCGCATTCTCCCCGTCTTCCTCAGCTCTTTTTGCGGAGGCTCCTCCTTGGAGAGCCTCTGGGGGCAGGCCTTCTGGAAGCCTCCTGGGCGTGTTCTGGGGGCCTCTGGGGGCTTCCTCGGGCCACCCTGTCTCCAACCGCGATCTCCCTGAACGACCGGGTCACGATTTAGAATGCTTCGGAGGGTGTCTTGGGGCCATCTTGGGCCGCCATGGGGCTCTCTGAGGGCCATCTTGGACCCCTGTTGTGCCGTTTCGGGACTCTCTTGGACTGCCTGGAAGCCCTTTCGGATGCTTGTGGGGCGATTTTGGAGCCTCCCAGGCGGCTTCGGACGCCCAGAAGACCGCCGTCTTGGAGCGTCGGGAAGCCGAAAAGAGGAGAACCCCAAAATTCACCAAAAACCAAAGACAATCAAGGATGTTTGCCTCTTGGGGCCTTCTTGGGAGTGCTCTTGGAGGCCTCTTGGGACGTTTCGGAACGATCTTTGGGGGTATGACGGCTTCTTGGGGTCGTTTCGGGAGCGCGCCACGCCTTGCGAGGCCCGGGGGGCCGCTTCGAGGCTCGTCCGGAGGGTCCCAAAGCCCCAGATCCAGGGAGTCTGGTTTTTGGGGGGGTGGGGGTCCCCCCGCCCGTGCTTGTAAACATATAGGAAGAGGACTATATATATATATGTGTATGTATGTATGTATATATATATATATATGTACATTATATATATATCTATATATAGATATATTCATATATATATATGTACATACATGCATGTATGCATACATACAAACATACCTACATACATACCTACAGACAGACAGACAGACAGACAGACAGACAGACAGACAGACAGACAGACAGACAGACAGACATACATGTACACACATATATTTGTATACGCAATTGCGTGTGTATATATATATATATATATGTACACATATGTGAGTCTAGAAGCATTTCCCCCCCGCGCGACGAAGCGGCGGCCTGGCGCCCTCGATAGCTTCTCGAGGGCACCATGGGTAGCGAGAGGTGTGTCTGTGGAGAGGCGGGCAGCAACGCCGCTCAAGCGTTCAAGTCCAGCCCGCATCGGTGGCGATCCGCTGCACCATCGCCACCGCCGCCTCGAAATCCTCTGCGACCTCGACGGCCTCGCTGCTGCAAAACCGCAGGGTGCGCTGCGAGGCTTCCACTACCAGCGGCACCGCGCCGAGCTCCGGCCTCGACGCGAAGTAGGCGAGCAGTGGCGTTGCCTCTCCGCCACTGACCAGCGCGACCGTCCGCACCAGCGCGCGCTTCTTGTCCAGGGCCCTGGTGGCGTTGCGGTGGGCCTTGTAGCCCTTGACCTGGCACCCCAGCGCCTCCAGCCGAGCCTTCATCGTAACCGCGGTGGGCTTGAAGGCGAGCTCAGAGACCCATACGAGCGTCCACTTGCCCTCCGCGCCGTCGCCGCCAGACGCCGCGGCCCCGCCTTCTGCCTGGAGCGTGCCGAGAGCGGCGCTGTCAGCGGCGCCCGTCGCCCGCGAAGGCCCGCCTCTGGGGCCTCGCTCGAAGGCTGCTGGCTCAGCTGCCGTCCTGGCTGTCGCACCGGCCAGCTTGGCAGTCTCCTCGCGCCTGGGATGCACTGGGTGTTGCGGCGCTCGGCCCGCCAGCTGCTGCACATGGCCTGCCGCGGGTGCCGCGGCCACGACGCCGATGCTGCAAAGCGAGCTCACGACTTCCTCCCAACTGTGAGCGATAGTCGGGCAGTCGGCGCTATCCTCCAGCACGCCCAGCTCTTCGCGCAGGCGCTCCGCGTCGCCCACCGCGCCCTCGGCGTCGATCACCACGCGGAGGCCGCCAGCGCCGCGGCCGCGCAGGTAGGAGACGAGCTGCCGGGACTCTGCCTCGGAGACCAGGAACACCGTGCTCTTCGGGATGGTGGGCTTCTTGTCGAGGGCGCGGCAGCACTTGTCCTGGTTCTTGTAGACCTTCACGAGGAAGCCCATGCTGCTGATCTCGGCCTTCCTGGCATCCACGGCGCGGAAGGCGCGGTCTCCGACCCAGACGACCGTCCAGCCGTTGAAAATCCGCGGCGCTGCTTCAGACTGCCTCTGCTGCGCCAGCGTGCCTGCATCCCTGACGCAGGCCGCCGACGTGTCAATGGCATACCCGTCGACCGCGTAACCATCGACCCAGTACCCGTCGACGACGCATGCGTCAAGGGCGTACGACTCGGCCATGTACTCTTCGACCACCAACGCCTCGTCTGGCAGCCTGTCGCCTCTGCCCGCACAGAGGAGCCCCAGCTGGAGGTCGTGGGGAGCCCTCGGCGGCAGCCGCGGGGCCGCGGCCTGCCCCAGCTCCGGGGTGGTTCTCTCGCAGATGGGGAACGCTCCTGGAGTGAACTCCTGCGCGTCGGTGCTGAGCGAGGCGGAGAGCGGCGGCGCTTGGGCGGCGGCCTCTTCGAGGCACGGCGATAGATCGTACCCTGCGAGGTCCATGTCGTGCGACTGGGGCAGCATGAACGGCGATCCTGCCGCGTCCGCCGTCGGTGCCGTGGCAGCGCCCACCGCGGCGCAGTGGGCCGGCTGATGGGGCCTCTGCCAGCGCTGCGCTGCGGTGGCCATCGCCAGCGCCGCACCTGCGTGCGCACCAGGCGCAGAGTGCGGCGTGCGGTAGCTGGCTCGCAGCAGCGGCGAGCGCATCGGCCACAGCATCGGAGACGCCTCGTCGCAGTCCGAGCCCGAGATGGAGGCCCAGCGCCGCCGCGCGGCCGCGGGCTCCGCCGCGTGCGGGAGCTGGCCAGGCTCCCACGAGCGCGGCGCCAGCACTGGTGAGCCCCTCGGCCAGGCGCTGGCCTCTGCTGAAGGCTGGCGCAACTCCACCACGGGGCCACCGCGCAATGACTCGCGCAGAGCCAGCATCGTGAGCCGATCCACCACGCCCGGGTGCTCGCTGCAGCTGCTCCGCGGCGTCTCCCGGGCGGAGCCCAAACATGCGACGTCCTGATTGCTTCAGGACGGCGTCCCTGGAAATCCCGACCCGTTCCCCGGGACTGGCTTCTCGTCCCGAGCCGTTCTTTGACGGCCCCGAGGCCCGGCGAGGGCCCCCCCGGGGCCGAACAGTAACATGGCCCAGAGCCTCCCGCGCCCCGACTTTTTTTCCTGAACGTCGCGAGCATGTCTGGGGAGCGCACGGCCTGCTCGCACGCGCCCTCCGTGCTCGAGCTCGAGGACGCGGCCACCGCGGCCTCGACGGCCGCCACGAGCGCAGCGCTCGGGGAGGCCAGTCCGGCCCCGCCCTGCGCGCCGCACGGGCGCCTCCAGGCCGGCCGCGCGCCCAGCTCCCCGGGGTGGGGGCCCGCCCGCGGGCCGCCTGCGCTGCTGGAGGCCTGCCGCAGGGGGTCCGAGCAGGTCGCCGCCGTCCAGACATATGACGAGCGAACAGCACACACCCCTACGGTCAGAGCGTATATGAAGGACGGGTGATAAGGACGCAAGGCCCTTGGAGGCCGAAGCTGGGTTTTCTAGGGCGGCGGGCGACCAGTGATAATGGCGAGGACGAGCCTCAGAGGCAAGGACACAAGGGCACCCTGGATGAAGGCGCGCGTCCTTACTAGGCGCGTTGACTATACCCACAGGGGGAATGTTGGGAGGAGGACTGGCTATGGGTAGGGGTGCGGGCTGTCGGGTCCTGGGGGTGGCTTCCCTTCGAGCGTGGGCCCCCATCTGACAACACGCACCCATAGCCCCCTCCGTCCCACCTGTGGGTGTGGGTGCGTGTTGTTCGTTCGTCAGACATGCTCGCGTCGTGAACAGAAACCAGGGCGCGGGAAGCTTTGGGCTATGTTCGGCCCAGGGGGGCCCCTCGCCGGGCCCTCGGGGCCGTCGAACAACGGCCCGGGACGAGAAGCCAGTCCCGGGGGAAGGGTCGGGACTTCCAGGGACGCCGTCCTGAAAAAATGAGGACGTCGCATGTCCGAGAGTAGGTCGCCACTGCATCGCCAACACATCGCCGATCACGCATCGTCGATGCGTCGGCGACGTCGGCGGTGCATCTGCGACGCGGGCGCGGAGAAAAAGTCGGGCTTCACACCCAGACCCCCGACGTCAGGGGTTTTTCAAGACGGCGACTTCCAGCGGCCTGGACCCCTTCCTTGGACTCAGTTTTTCGTCCTGAGTATTTGTTGACAGTCCCGAGGCCCGGTGAGGGCCCCCCGAGCCCCAGAACAGCGAAAAACCTCCGTCGTGTTTTTTTTCGCAGCGCGATGAGGTCTGGGCATCGAGCCGCATCGCCGCTGCACCGGGGATGCGGCACGGCCCTCTGGCCCCCTCTCCCCCGAGGTCCGACGTCCTGCTTGCTTCCATAGATGGTCCCCGAAGTCTCGACACCCACTCCCGGGCACCGGCCCCTCATCCCGAGTCGTGTCTCGACCGGCCAAGGGCCCCCAAAGGCCAGAAGTGGCCAAGAACCTCCCGTCGTGATTTCTTAACAATAGCCCGGACCCCCGACGTCGTGATTTGTTTTCACAACGTTGACCCCCCAGAGGCCTGGACCCCTTCCCCGGGACCGGTTTTGCATCCTGAATCGTTTTTTGCCTGTCCGGGGCCCAGCGAGGGCCCCTGGAGGCCGAAAACGGCAAAGAACCTCCCATCGTGATTCTGTAACAATGCTGTCAGACCTAAAACAGAAGAACATCCTTCCAGAACGTGAGGCCCTCCGCCGGCCAAAACGCATAGAATTAGGGGTACCTTCCCCAGGATGCACAAGACCATCCAACAAGCACGCAGAACATTAGCGAACCCTCCCCGAGCCGACCTCGACCTTATATCTCGGTCCGACCGTAACGACGCGAGCATGTCTGGGGCCCCAGCTGCTCGGACCTGGGGCCTGGCGAAGGCGCCGAGAGGCCGAAAAAGAGAAACAAAAAAAGCAGTCTCGTTTTTTCTCTGTGCGATCTCTAGGTCTGCTCCCAGACGCCCCTCGCGACGTGAGACAAATCACGACGGAGGCTTCTCAGTACTTTCGGCCTCCAGGGGGCCTCTGCCGGGCCTCGGGGCCGTCAAGAAACGAGCCAGGATGAAAAGCCGTTCCCGGGCAAGGGATCCGGACCTCTGGGGCCAACGTGGTGACAAAGAATCGCGACGTCGGGGGTCCGTGTCCCCATCCCGATCCCCACCACCCCACCACCCCAGTTGGGGACACGCCCCTCGAAACTCGAAGGGAACGGCCTGACCGTGTCGTAAAAAAATCACGGCGGGAGGGTTCTTGGCCATTTTCGGCCTCTGGGGGCCCTCGCTGGGCCCCAAACCGTCCACACAACGACGCAGGATGCAAAGCCGGCCCCGTGAAGGGGTCCAAACCTCTGGGGCTCCACGATGTTAAAAAAATCGCGAGGTTGGGGGTCTGGGCTCCTGATCCAGACCGGGACTGATCGCAGAAACGCCGTTTCGATCCTGGTCACCGCAGATCTTGAGGAGAACAATTCCCAGACATGATCGCGCCGTACAGAAAAATACGGGCCGAAGGTTTTTGGCAGCTTTCGGCCCCGGGGGGCCCTCGCCGAGCCTCGGGGCCGTCAGAAACGGCTCGGGACGAGAGACCGGTCCTGGGGGAAAGGGTCGGGACTTCCAGGGATGCTGTCATTATGGGAACAAAAAGTGACATAAACATAAAAACTCGGAGGTCCGCGCGGACCTCCGAGTTATTATGTTTATGCCGATTTTTGTTCCCCTAGTCCCGAACACATCAGGGCGTCACGCGTCTGGGCTCTCGAGCGGGGCGCGGCCAGCTGCAAGAGGGCGGGGGGCGCTCCAGGAAGGATCCCCGGGGTCCCTCCCCCGAGGAGCAGCCCGGCGCGGGGTCGGCCAGGAGCCTCTTTGGCTTCCGCGCGTCCTGCAGGCCAGCTGCTCGAAGGCCCTTCGGCCCCGAGCACGCCTCGACGCAGGGCTCGCTGGCCGTGCCAGCAGCTCTGGCGGAGGAACGGGCAGAGGAGATAACCAAAACAACGAGAGGAGAAGAGGACGACAGGGAAGGGGAGGAGGATCGAGGGAGAAAAGGAGAACACGGCGAGCAGAAGCCAACGGCGCACAGACGTACGATCGCGTCGTAACACAAATCACGACGGGGGGAGGTTTTTAACCGTCTTTGGCCTCCGGGTCTCGTTGAGCCAGTCCCTATCCCCAGACCCCCTCGCGTCGTGAAAAACCACCCTTGCCAGGCCACGGGGCCGCCAAGAAACGACTCAGGATGAGAAGCCGGTCCCGCGGGGAACGGGTCGGTGCGTCCCGGGGCCGATCGCTAACTGGCGCTCACGGACGCCAGTCGAGGCCAGTCGACGCTCATCGGCACCACGTCGACGCCAGAGCGGCGCCCATCGACGCCAAGTCGGTGCTTTCTCATCGCTTGCCAGGCACTGGCGCACGCTAGCGCATCCTAAAGGCTGAATCTCGAGGGCATAAAAGGCTCTCATGAGTTGCTGCCGAAGAAAGCGGGTCCTGACAGAAACGGGCCCTTGAGCATCGTTTAACTGATCCCTAGCTCCACGGACGTGGCCTGGGCCCCACTGGCCGATCTATCCCCCTAGATGGGGATATAGGCTGTTCCCTTCGAGTTTCGAGGGCCATTTCCCCAGCTGGGGTGGTGGAATGGTGGGGATCGGGATGGGGACCCAGACCCCAGACGTCGTGTTTTTTTCCACCACGTCGACCCCCAAAGGTCTAGACCCCTTCCCCGGGAACGGTTTTTCATCCTGGCTCGTTTCTTGACGGTCCCGAGGCCCGGTACAGTCGGCACGTGTCATAAGGATGCGCGATAAGGATGCAAAGGTCTCGGATGCCCATTGCGAAGCTTCTCGAGCGGGGCGCCCCCAACGAAAGTGGCTAAGGATGGCTCGAGGAGGTAAGGATGCAAGGGTACCCTCGGAAAGGTTGCCCATCCTTGCTATGCGGGTTGACTGTAAGGGCCCCCTGGAGGCCGAAGAACACGAAAAACCTCGATCATGATTTTTCCACGACGCGAGGGGGTCGGGGGGATAGGGATCGGTTCCACGATGCCGAGGCTGGCGCGGGGATCGGGCCTCCAGCGCCGCGGCGGCCGCAGATGCGCGCGCATATGGAGCCGGCCCGTGCATGCGCGGCCGCGCGGGGAGGGCGCCGGTGCCCCGCCTGGTGCTCGAGGCAGCGCGCGTGCAGAAGCACTCCCAGCGGCGGCGAGCGAGGGGGGCCCTTCCCGGGCCTTCGGGACCGTCAAAAAACGACTCAGGATCAAAAACCAGTGCTGGGGAAAGGGTCCAGACCTCTGGGCCTCGACGCTGTGAAACAGCCACGACGTCGGGGGTCTGGGAAGACGGAGCACTTTAGCTGTTTTTCCCCCCCTCTGGGGGCCCTGGCAGGGCCCCAGGGCCGTCAACAAACGACTCGGGATGCGCAGCTGGTCCTGGAGAAGGGACAGGGACTTCCGGGGGCCCCATTCTGAAAACGTTGGGACATCACACGTCTGGCACTGTGACGAGCACGCGGCGAGTTCAAGCAGCGATCCCGGCGAAGGACCCGACCATACGGAGCTGTGAGTCCGGCGCTGTGGGTACCACTTTCGGTGGGGCTCCCAGTTGGCCACGAGGAGCGCGAGGGGGCTGGCGCGGGGACGCACGCGGGCCCTGCCGCTGGAGCCTTCGGTCGAGCTCCCTCTGGGGCCACGCAGCGTGTGAGGGGTGTGCCGACCTCGGCGGGGAGACCGCATGCGAAACTCCCCTTCCTGCGTGTACGGAGGCAAGGCTGCCGGTACTTCGCCACCGGGCTCCTGGAAAAGGCGCGCCTTTGCAAGTACGTCGACTTCGGCACCGCCTGATCCCGAGGCTTTGCCTCCTCCCGGCCTCGCTCTGAGGCTGCGCCCTCCCCCTTCCCTCCCCCATATCTGGTTAATTCAAGCTTCGCGCGGCCCGCTCAGCTTCGACCAGAAGAGGTGCGCTCTCGACCCGCGAATCAAAAAGAGTGTACGGAGGCAAGGTGGCAAGCGCGCGACGAGTTCGAGAAGCAAGCCGCTCGGAACCCTTGGGGAGCCCCCTGCCGCCCCCCGTTCGCCCCCGCCGGGGGCAGGTCCTGGAGCAGCCACGCGAGCTCCGGGTCGATGTCCTGCACGCCCACGAAGCCGCTGCTCTCCTTCCCCAGTGCCTCTGGCCGAGGCGGGTATGACGATCGGGCCGAGGGCGGGGAGGAGGAGGAGGAGGAAGAAAAGGAGGAGGAGGAGGACGAGGAGGAAGAGGAGGAAGAAAAGGAGGAGGAGGCCGAGGGCAGGAAGGCCGAGGGCGGGGAGGAGGAGAAGGAGGAAGAG